GTCCAGTTCTCCATGGTGTGCAACGGTTCTGTAACTGATAACAATCCGTGATCAACTCGTAAAAACAGAATACATCGAAAGATAGTAAAGACATCATAATAGATAATCGATTATATCAAATATCCTGTAAAACTTCTAATGTTCTTACATGTTGACAAACCAATATCATGTATCTGTACTGAAAGAAGAACGAACGCAATATTTCAAAACATTTTACTGGTTGACGCGTAATTTTGTTGGTAGATACCATCACAATCACCAAGTTTCATTGTTCTCAGTTCACTACTCACCAACTCCTGAGTTAGTACTGAATGACAACAAACTGTCAATTAACTGACAATTATAATTCCATCATCTTTAGAATAACCAACTACAGAAGCCGATATAGACTATTGCACATACAACGTCCAAAGCAGTCTGAAACATTCTCACACACATCAACTGAAAGTTACTGCTTGATTCAGAATACAAATTCTCAGATTGTGTATATACTGCTGCGTTTGAAATTTATTCGTGTAGATTGATTCATCTGTGATATTTTCTACTAAGTCTCTGATAATCAGCGTGATTAACGTACAGGTATTCTTGTCTACTGTTGTTGTCTGCTGTTTCGATTCTGAGGACCTAAAATGAATTACACAAGTTTCAAGTAGGACAGGAAGTGCCAAGTCGACTAGGTGACTCCATTCAAAAATCTTAATGACTAGTATAGCACATGATATATTGAAGTTAATCTGAGAAATGTTTCGCTATTCCATCATTGTGATGTTCGTACTTAAGGATGATTCAGATGAATTACCTTCTGGTAATGTCAAGGCGATTTATCGATTCTGGAGTAAGAGAAGTACACTCTGCGAACACTCGTAAACTTAAAACGACAAGACACTCAACTAAGTCTAATATGCACAAAGATGAAATATCCAGTAATTATAGATTTTGTGTACTTTGTGTAACGTGTTTCTCACTGTCTAACCTAATCGAAGTAAAAACTATTGTGAGTGTATTCCATCTAACATATTTTTCATTTAATCTCTGCAGAAATATATAGACGAGTCAACTGAAAATGAATCGTTTTATAAGGACGTTAAACTGAAACATGCTACTTTTCAAAATTGCACTGAGATGCTCAGACGGAGAATCAGAGTGCCGGATAAACTGAAAATTTCTTCTTGAACTATTGTTGTTATTTGCATTGAATAACGATGAAATATGAGAAATTAATTCAAGTGTTTGTTTGTAGGGATTTGATTGATTTCAGGATTTCAGAAATTAATTATTGTCAATCACACAATGTGAATGTTGAGCGAGGACAGTTACAACTTACGCAGTACTAGATGGAAGATTCGAGGCTCGGAAAGGCGACTACCTACGACCTCTGTCTCAGTCACAATGACTTAAAATAACTTGGACAGCAAGTGTCGATTCACCATACTCTAGAATTCCACTGACTAACAGACCACATATTATGATAAAATCTATCTGCCTAACGTTTCATCGTCCCATCGATGTAATGTTTGTAATAACCTCACCTAGTCTAGTAGTTCAAAAGCCGGTCCAAAGCACGGGGAAAGAGGGAAGGTTGACGTGTGGCCGGCGATCCTACTTTGGGAAATCAATCCGATTCTCAACGAAACTTCAAACGACAGCCAAAATATGAGGAAGAAATCTTTTCTTTGCTGGCGTTGGGTAGATGGAATGCAACAGACTTGTAAAAGCCTTTGAGAAGCCAGTCAGATGGAGTGCCTTTCAATGAAATTAGGAATACGCAAGGCGGCATGGAATATCAAACATTGTTTGAAGCTTGGAAGACTGCTTAATTTGCCTAATAGATGAAAAGAACCGGCATCTCATTGCTGCGAATTTGTGAGATTAGGAGGAATGAATATGCGCCTCTCAGAATTGTTGACTGGAGATTGATTGATCAACTCCAGTTTCTTCAACAACAACCTCGAGCATGCTGGGAAAGTGGCTGTCACGATATCACGAACACCAACCAAAGCGTGTTTTCAGTGGGAACAGATCTCCCCCAGGATAATGACAAACAGAATCATTTCCAAAGGTAGGAAAGTTACAGTCATCTGGTATTAGGCTCCTTCAAACAACACCGATGAAGAGAAGGAAGAATTCCACAGACAAATGTAAGCAGTAATGGACAAGATCCCAAACAGTGATTTCAAAATCCTAATGTGTGGTATGAGTGCTGAACTGGGAGCAGTCAGTATGGGAGCAGGACTCATCAGGGTCGACAGCCTCTCAGCAAAGTCAATGAAAATGCACAGTTCTCTAGAGACTTCTGCGACTTCAATAACTCGGTGATTTGGGGCGGCGTGTACAAGCACAAGGCTGGACACAAGACAACATTGATTTCGCCTCATAGACACATTAATATTCAGCTAGACTTCATCTCGATGCTGCTCAGGAAAGTTGAGATGATGGAAAAAACAGTTCCACAACACAATGTCAACTTAAGAACAGGCTGCAGGCCAAAAGACCTCAGAATATTACCCTAGATATGCAGGTCTATATCCGTGAGGAGAACAGGTCGCGTGTAACAGAGAACTCACAACGCCACATTAAATGCTAGGGTAACTGTCAGAAGATAAATGAACAGGTGTGAAGCCATTTGAAGTTCGGGAGGAAATCCCGATCATCAAATGGGTGAAACATAAGAAACATTGAACTGACCATTTTAAACAACTGCTCAGTAGACCATTGCTTGTAAATAACTCAAAAATACTACTACAATAGAAGCAGAAGTCTCGAAAGTGAAGCCATGAAGTAGGTGGAAGTTGAGAAAGTAGAAAGACCAGATGGGAAGCTTTACGAAAGCGCTGAAATTGGACACAGAGGTCTCAGCGGAGGTATTCACCCCACCACTTCATGAGGAAAGAAAGGGCATGAACTTGGGTAAATTCATCCTCCTCTCCATCTCAAGTAAAATATTTGATTGCGTTGTTGTTGAACACAGCCTGGAATTGTAGTCAGCTCTCAGACCTAACTTCCTAAACTTTCGAATGGCCGTCCATAACACTAAGTGTGAGGAGAGTTACATTGCAAACAAATGAGCTTTCACAAGTTCTAGTTACCCATGACTGATTAGTAACACCGATCGTACGCCGTGGATATGATGAAATTCCTCGAATCGAAAACAAGTTATGCTGATTCTCTACACAACAACGACGGCATACTATTATTATTAATTATCATACTTTTCCTGTTTCCTAAGTGTGTACTGGTGTACACTAGTAAATCTCAATCACATTCAGTTATCTACGACCACTTTCGACTGGCTCCATGACTGTCCACATACTTTCGCTTTCTCTACGCATGGTATAGTGCACGTCACCCACAGACGCCTAACTCGACACTTCCCATTCAGGTTGCACTCAGGGGTCTGATGTGTAACGTCACCAGAATATCTAGTACTAGACTGTCTATAGGTTCGCTGTCAGACACAATTCCTTCTTGATCATCTTTTCCAACCGCTCATCTGATCTTCAGTGTCCACCGAAGTCAGGTGTCAATGAGAATACATAGCAGCCTGTTGGAAATGCTTTCGGAGATGCATCAATCCTCTTAACCATACAGAGGCACTGACTTTACATTAGTGTTAGGAATTAACATCATGTTGTTTCCCACGAAGGTCACAACGATCAATACCATGTGTGAGCTAAAAATAGTTCTTGAAGATTTAGAAGTCACTCATAAATATAAGATATCTGGTAACTGGAGTTCAATGAGCTTCTAAAAAGTCAGACAAATTCACTGCTAGATTAATTCAAGGCTCACATATTGTAAATTTTGTAAGGAAGCATGCTGAAAGCTCTCAGATTGCTCAGTCAGTAATTATTTTGCAAATATACTGAAAAATAGTCTATGGAATCTCACTAGATTGAGTGATTCAAATTCACTTCCTGTGGATAATAAATAATAATAAATAATTTTTCCTTCACGTTCCCATTGGAACATAGGGCTTCAAGCTAGTGGCTTGAAGTTTCTGTAGCAGTGTTTAATTTTACAGGATGGGGTTGCTAGCCTCATGCCCAACCTTTCCTCTTTACCAGCATTATTTCTGGCTCAGTGAGGTAAAGGAGTGAGCCGGCCGGGATCGAACCCCGGACCATATGCATGGTCGGCGAGCGTCCTAACCGCTATACCACCACACTTTCTGTGGATAGTATGGGAAAATTACTGCACTTCACACTTCAGAGGATAAGTACCGATGATGAAATTCGTTTAAGAAGACGCACGTTGCGTGGAATTTGTCATAGATTAAAGAACTAAATTCGGCTTTTGTTCTATACAATTTTTTCTCCTCTTTCGAAAAATTAATAAATCCTCTTTGCAAAAGTGAATATACTTTAGGTTTCAGAGTTGGGCGTCAATATGGGTCTAAAGATACACCGTTGATTCAATGGCAGAATGTTCTCCAGCCACATGAGGACTTCTGGTCAAATTCTTGATGGATGCCTTATTAAGCCATACCTAATCTACTAGGCGGTAACTTCAGAAAAGAGCTGACATAACAGATGAAGCTATCAACCCTATTGCATACTAAACAACACCACCAACAGTGAAACTACGGAAGACAAAGGAAGGAATTGAGAAAAATGGATCTAAACATGAAATCTATTAACCGCTTCAAGCCATCACTTCCTACTGTGTCAATACCATTCACAAAACAAAACCAGTCTCGTCTCTTCTCCCTTGGAGCTCAAATACTACGATGAATTCATCCATGTATACTTCATGAATATTTGTGGTTGAAATTATCTCAGGAATTCCTTAGAATCACATTTCTACTCGTTGCGTTGCGTTCGATAATGAGTTTGATTTAGCGCCTAATATGCAACTCTGAAGTCTGCCACTCAGAATTCTCATATAGATTGATAATAATCACTTGTGAGATAGATAGATAAACAGACAGACACCCAATCATATTTTAGGCTTTTCGTAGACGCCTACGACTGTGGTCAGGTGGCACCATTCTTAGTTTTCCAGTTACATTCGTAATACGCTGTCGGTTTTGTAAGTGTTGCGCTTGGTCACTGTCGTAGAATGTAAGTACACTAAAGATAAGTTTATTTAATATAACACACAGTGATACAGTATTAATAACTGGATGATGTTTTCAGCACAATTTATTCCGCATAAACAGTCACATCAATGTATTCACATGACTTGACTATTGGATTTATATATCCTTTCGCTTCCCTACTTTTATTGATTACAATTTTCCATATATAGCGTATAGGCGTTGTATCATTAGGACTCCTACCGTTCGGTATTGATTCAACGAGCAGAGATTCAGTGGTCAACCTCTATCTTCATCTGACGGAATTCCATTTCAAAACTTTCAATTTATGACAGTCTTCGATGCTCTTATTGATAATACTATGATTACACCCTCAGGGTGTTCTCGGTTTTCACCTGATTGACTGGAGTAAGTAATTGACTCGTCACTTAATAATTTGGAGAGTTCACTTCTATTCCTTTTCTTCTCACAGATTCCAAACCCTTCTGCACCGAGTGTTCTCGTTTCTTCCGCAATCTAGGCAGCTCTGCTAGGCTCAAACATGGAGTGAATATTCCATTTGACTGCATCTGTCACCATCGAAAGGAAAAATATCGGTTGATTATCTTCGTAGAGGTGTTCACCAGCTGATCGCTTGAATTGAAGTGTCTTCCCAATTTCAGTAAAGAATAAGTTCATTTTCTCTCTGCCTTCAGGTTTCACTAGTAGTCGTAGTGTTTCCTACAGGGTGATGATTCTGGCTCCTGGTTAAACGCTACGTTTGCTGAATATACCGAGTCAATTAAATTTTCTCATAATCGCTCGTTGTCTAAGTCAAACATTATTCCAATTGTTTCAATAAACTGCTTCCCAGGAGTTGTTAGTTCCATTACATACTCATATTGTTTGTTGAATGCGACAGTTTCTCTTCGAATGACTTCATCTATTTACATGAAATATGTTTATCTTCTTATGTACAAGTCATGCTCCGTAAGTTGTAAGCAGTCGATACAACACAGACTACAACAAACCATGTTATTATTCTTTCCGAATCTACTATCCACTCAGCTCTACTGTTAGAAGTTGTGATTACTCTTATTTGCTCCATTCATTTCATATCCATTGAACACATTGAAATAAAAGTGACTACGTTGTGTCGTTGTTTTGAAAGTGTATATTTGTAATGACCCTTCTCCTATTTTTGTAGCCTATCCGATCTGTATCGAATAGAGGTGAGTGTTGAATAATGAATCCCTGTGGTATTTTACTAGAATTTCAGGTCGCCAGTTATTACTACTGTCAATCTTCGAAAAATGGTAATTAATCTTTCTTATATGATAAAAGGAAAAATATTCAGTTTACGAATTCTCTCCTAATGGCTTCCAACACAGAGACACCATCTGAGGAACCACAGATAGAGTAAGAAATGTATTGCCATGTCTACCTACTTCTCATATTTTCTTAGCATTCGACACTTCAAGATAACGGTGATCTGCATGTAAGTCTTTTTCAACACTCATTTCATTGACACTACAATATGGCGATACTTTCAATTTTCTGTCTTGATTCACCAGCTAACTTAGCGATAACTATCACTGCATAATGTTATTCATGCTGTTCAGCAATGAAACGAAGTTCTTGCTCATTGAATGCTTTGCAAATGCACTACACCTTCTTATTATCTGAAAGACAACCAGGTGAGGCTGATCTAAGCTGTTGATGATTTGCTTTCTTCACCAAATGTAACCTGCCTAGTGCAGGTCTGAGGAACTGTCACTCAATACATCCATTGATTGCCTGTCCAGTCGGAGTTTTCTCGAGTTTTGTATATGGTGATTGTGTATCGACTGTTGTTGGTATCACAGTTTGACGAGTTTCTATTTCCGACTAGAATCTGTGCACACTGAATGCATTCAGAATATTTATAACATACATTCACATTGTATATACGTTTCCTGGTCTGTCCAACTTTTATGCTAAGACAAGTGATGTACCTACTTGTATTTCAGAATTTGTGGTGGTATTGTCTTCACTATTTTGACATTGTTTAAAAACCTACAGTCCATGTTTGCAGTTAATTTTATTCTAACGAACTTATCGGTAAGTGTATTTTTATCTCAGTAGTTTCAAAGTGTTTATCATATTTCCTCTTTCTACAATTCATGTGAGACATAGCTGACTATTGAAAAATACACAATGTCGAGAAGACTTCAGCTCCTTATGGAAGTCACGCTTGCTGTTCAACATCAGGGAGGATATTACTGAGAATATTTTATTTGAAGCCATACATTGTACCACAAGGTTTTTACAGGAGAACACTCGAATTCTGAAACCTATTCTGTGACCTGTGTTGTCAACTATGCATCCACTGAGAACAATTCCCTTATCAGTTACCAGAAAGTCATCAATGGTTTCATTGTAAAATTGATATCCGTGTGACACTATATATTCTGAAGCGATTTCAATGCCTAACTGTTATAAACCTTGAGAGTGTATGTATTGCCCTATTTCCTACATTGGATTAGTTGGAATATATTCGCCAAACAAGTGGACTGAAATCTCCATGCAGTCACTGAAGGAAAGCGAACATTGACGAGACGTTTATGCTATGCGTTTAAGCATTTTATCGCACCTCAGTCAAAACACAATTAAATCTGGGCAAATAAACTGGTTTCTAACCCACTCTAAATCCGTGCCCACAAAACAGTCCTACGAGGAGGTGAACTTGACCTGAACTGGATGGAGATAACACCAATTCATCTGACAACGACTGAAGTGTGTGAAAGAATACGAGCTCTTCCATTGTTCGAGATATGTGGCGTTGATGTGTTCCAACAAGTATCAAGACTAGTTGCATGTCTTCCTGTCAATTGACGCCAGTCTAAATAACTTGCATTACTTATTATTCTTTCAGTGATTATGTGATGTATCAGAATAAACCAGATTGATACTGCATTGGTTCACGGTGCATCTCAGCGATGGCCGATTAAAAGATTGTTACAGCACATAGGCGTGAAGTGGGGTGATATCGGAGTTCCGAAAAGCTGCTTATGAATGCGCATAAAACCCAGGTTTCACTCATCAGGTCATCACAAATCCAACAGTTCGAAATAGTCGTTATATGTCAGTCACCACCGTAAGAGATTCCAGTATGTTGATCTGGTGTCTCACATCATCCAGATGCCGTGCTATGATGTTGTTGAATGATGCTGAACTCCTAAGACGTAGATGCAATATGATTTATTACGTATCACTGATCAGAGATGACCGTTGCTAATTTCACTACAAATCAACGAGTTTCGCTGAATGTGAGCCACGTGAAATCAGCTAGCTTGAATGTCTCATCCCATATTAGAAAACACCGTGCATAGAAGTATCGTCGTTCAAATCTCACTGGTCACATTAATATTTTGAGTAATGCCACCACAAACACATAAATATTATTTGTAATCATGTGAAATATGTTTTATATTATTCTCCAACCTAGATCATCTTGATTTCTGTGGGTACAGCATACTTTTTTCAGTGTGGTGAAATGAGATATCTGTTAATTTCTGTCAGCTCGGCAGTTCTCATCACAATAATAGTCGTTATGATAGGTATGAATTTAAGACATTTGAAAAGAGAGGGATGCTTTTTGCTCATCTCAATATCTTGCATGCTCGTCGTTTGGGGGATCATAGTTTTTTACATTGGATTAGCCAAGGTGAGCGATTCTGTTTGCTAAATCACTTTCTGATGCATTCATCATCACTAAAAACAAGTAATTCAACAGCAGTCAGAGATCTCTTGACTTCTAGTGATCACTTGCAAATATAATGTGACGTATAAATTCAGCGTCGGTGGCACAGCGGTTAGGACGCTCGCCGACCATGCATATGGTCCGGGGTTCGTTCCCCTGCCGACGAAGCACTCTTTTACCTCGCTAAGCCAGAAATAATGCTGCCAAAGAGGAAAGGTTGGGCATGGGGCTAGCAACCCCATCCTGTAAAAATAAACACTGCTACAGAAACTTCAAGCCACTAGCTTGAAGCCCTATGTTCCACTGGGAACGTGAAGGAAAAATTATTATTATTTATAAATTCAGCGACTAGGAGATATTATATATCTTATGTTCAGATAAAGGCTCTTCAGGAGAAAAACAGTGCTTGATTCCCATGAGTAGAATCATTAGGAGTTTATTGAAAACGTTTGTGTGAATTTTAAAGCTATAGAACGTTCCCTTTAAAAATCATTACACAGTAAGTTATATGGTTTAGCACTGATTAATTATTCTATGTTGAAACTGTCAGTCTCTGTTAACATATTCGCTTCCATGTTGGACTCCTCAAAGATGTGTGGCAATTTGCCTGATGAAACTTGATCGATGTTTCCTAGCACTGAAATCCATGATCTGCATTTCATTCTATTTGAGGTTCAGCATCTGAATGCAACTACATTCCCAGTGAATGATGGAGTGGCTATTCGAACGTGAACTCACAACTTGAACACCATCACTCACAGAGGATGCAGATACACCCAGATTAGGAAGAAACCCGAGTTATGGATTCTGCTGCAGGACACTATCAGTCAAGTTAATTTGCTTTCTTTAGTGCAGTTGAACTGAGTTAAGCCGCTGTGTTGTTTGGTTCGCCGAAGCATTTAAACGTTTTACGAATTTTTCAATTCACAATCTCAAGTAATAATTATCCACTGTCGACTACTGTGTGAGACCTGTTCAAGAGACTTCAGCCTCTTGAATATTCTTCATATTGAGATATATCATCAACAACCGTTCTCTGTTACACTGGTGTGATTATCAGGTCAATTCACTCTCTGTCAGTCCTCTGTCAAACTTCAAGTCTTGCTTTACACTTGATTAGTAAGAAAAAGAACGTTTCAGTGGTGCCCTGTAACACTCATGAATAGTCCAAATCCAGGGACTAATGAACAGAGAAAACCAAGTTGTCATGATAACAGCCGCTTATATCAATGCATCAGAGGAGATGAGGAAGAATTACACAATGCAGTAAATAAAGGAAAGGATGAGTTGTAATCAGGAAGCAAATAGAAACAAATGAAAATGTGTTACTACGCAAGAGAGAGATTGAAAGATTTTGGAAGAAACAAAGATGAATGTCGTTAGCATGATAGCAAAAGTGGTAGAATAGGTTTCTCCAGTTACCGGAGAACCAGCTTTTCTGTCTGGATGATTGGAAATTCAGTAATGCATGAAGAAGCAAAAATGTATTACCATTTAGTAGGTTGTTCTTCACTTTGTGCATTACTTTGAATTGGGTGTTTGCTGCGATAGAATGGTCAGTGTCAGCAAGATATCCACTATCTGACCGTTTACTTAGCTACTTCTAACATCTCTCAACTATGATCGACAAGGATCTTAAACTCTTTAAGACAGGATACTTCTGTGTGGATATATCATTTCCCCTGTTCGTGTAGGGGCATACACACACATATATACATATAAATATATATATATATATATATATATATATATATATATAATATTTGTAACCTGTTGAAGTGTAAATTAATTTACTTATTCCATTGGGTTTTTATTGAAATTTAGGACTCTATTCTGTTTATGGAATTCGCTACAAGTGCCTGTTGGACGTGTGCTGCAACAATCGTAAGTCTTACGCAAACCTTTAGTAGAGAATAAATCTTATGAACATGAAAAATCAAGTTTTCCCTGTTAATTAGGAAAATACGAATGCATTCACTAATTCCAAGTGTTTGTGAGATGACCTACAAAACAAATTCATTTAACGACTGTTCACTTCAGATTTCAATATGGATTAAGGACCACACTGAAATTAGAAAGTTGTGAGGAAGATGTATAGCTGAAGTCGATGTTTTCGGCGTTGTCCTCGTCTCTGAACTGGACAGTTCATGTGGGAAGCATTCAATATTATTCTGAACAAAAATGCAGTTATTACAGATGACGCTGTCCAGAAGGAAAACTTCTTCGCATAACCACTCAAACTCACAGAATACAACAACACCAAAATACGCTGAAATTAGTCAAAACTCCTACAAGCCATAAAAGTAAATGCTTAAGATGCACTTAAACTTGTGCTTATATTTGCAATAAATTCACGCATCACATGTTAATTTCTAATTAAAGACGCATTTGTCTTTAGGTCCATACAGATCTATGTTAACTCAAACATTTGAATCTCAATGAGACTGCCTGACTTAATTGTATAGTGTATTGAGTAATGCGCATATTATTGAGAGCGGATTCCATTTTAGAGTGTGATACTTCAATACGCTGAGGCAAGTGCAAAGTTATGTGGAAAATACAGCAATGTATTAATGCATAATAGATCAAATGATGTGCTAAACTCTATTCAATTAACACGTTCCCACCCGAAGCACCATCCAACATCTGAGAATCTCCAAGTTGAATGAAGTACCTGAGTATTTCCAAGCCATCTATAAGTGAAGAGCTTGAAGTAGACAGATATGTCGGGTCTCAACTAGACAGCTTCATATCTAACCTAATGAAGGGAGAGGTTGAGAAAACAAATTTATCAACAGTCCACGAGGAATCGTATTCTACAACACAACTGAAACACAATATTAGATCAAACTTATTGTGAGTTCGAACAATGCCTCGCAGTGAAACATTCAATAGTCATCACATATGTATAAGGTTTCCGTTTTCAGCTGTCAAGGTTGAGCGGATCACACTGTTAAGCATTGCAGGTTAAGATTCCTATGGCAATATTTCTTTCATTATTGCGCTATATTTCACCATTTGCCATTACTGATGTAAAACATAATGATTATTATCAATCGTCTGGTTTTCAGGAATATGACTGACTTTATATTGAATTTCATCACTAACCCACATCAATAAGAGAAGAGTTGAAAACCGCGGAATACTAGACAGCCGTATTATTCTAATCTGTAGCTCTTCAAGAGTGCAAACACAACACACAGCCAGAGATCGAACTCAGAATTTCCAGATTGACAGGCGAACCTACCACTCTCCAACACTAACTGAGACGCTGTCTACTCCCTCCTCACATCCCTGTTTATAATTCCCCTTTCGAAACCCTTATCTTTTGTCTCGCTTTGTTTGCCACATGGAGTGTGACAACTGAAACTCCTGCACCCCGGTGTAAAGCTCTATGCTGAAACCGATTGGTAGGTCAGTGGGTCAGGGTGTCTTTCGGTACATTAAATGCTATTTTCTGATGACTCGCAATATGTAGAGCCACCATCAGTCACTGTAATCGATGTGCATCTTTCCTCATACCCAATTTGGTGGACCTCAATAGCCGAGAAACCTCACTGGTACTACAGGCGCTTTATCTCCCAGATTGTTATTAATGCAAAATGGACATAGCACCTGTCCAGTAATCTCTGTTTTTCACTGCCTCTCTAACTGATGTCGGTTAGAGAACAAATAATTTTCTCTCACTAATGCAATCTAATCCGTTTTGAATTACAGTTAGAATTTGTTACTGCATGTGAAATGAAACGCTGCAGAGACGGTGATTCATCTCTATTTAGCTATGAACAAATAGCTTTCCTTCTATGGGCAGATATTTTAGCAATATGCATATCAATAGGAGTGTTTTTTTTGGATAAATTAGCACTATGTGACTAAAGCAACTGTATCATGTTCATTTGAACACTTCACCTTGAAGTTCGTAAGACACATGTACACACAGTATAAATCATTGTAAAACTGAAACGTATTTTTCATTTTCATTGTCCATACACTCCATGAGGTAATTAAACATTTCAAATACAGACTATTCAGTAATGAATATACAATAACATTCCAATAACATTCTCATTGGGCTCTGCACTTACACATACATTCAGTACAATACAATGTAAAACAGAAAGTGTTTGTAATCAGGGACATGGTCAAAATATAAATATTAGGAATGTATTGATGCTATCCAAGTAATTAACTTCTCCTTCACGAAATATTCCGTTGACAGGGGCAATAAGATTCCATTAAATGAATGTAAAGAAGAATGTCTGAAGCATATGATGAATTTTAGTTCTAGGGAGAATGACACGGACGGATATACTGAGGCGTAATTGGTTCTCAATTGAGTGCAAATTTGCACACCTATTGACGACAAAGCTAGGAAATGATTCACTACACCATTCAGTGAGAAAGTTTACAGTTTATAAGAAGTGGTTGAGGGATTCATTCAGCCGCTGTCATTAAGGAGATGAACAGTGGTGAGATACTTACTAGATTCAACTAAATACATTTAGCTATGCAGTTTACAAGTGAGCGAGAATGTGTGTGTGTGAAGCATGTTATTGTTTTAGTGTGAGTATATGGATCAATAAGAAGGTATTCGTGTGAAAGAAGGAGTATGTGGATTGAGAGGCGAATGCACAAATTAGCCTTGTTTCCTTGGAATACGAGTGATATTTGATAAGATCTCTGAACCACGGAATATATCATACCGTTGAAGAAGTGATGACCTCACAAGACACTCTACTTGAAAACAGTTATCTAGAGGAATCCATTAGAAGACATACCATGAAGAACAGAAAAGAAACGTTTTTCGACTGCTGATAGTATAAGCCGATGTACATTTGAATGCGATTAGGCAGCGATGTGCTGAATAAGATTTTGATTGAAAAGCGGTGCAGATCTGGCCAGAGAAATTGTGGCATAAGAATATTACGAATTATGCTTCCCACAATTCCGATAGTGACACAGAGCGCAGAGAATGAGTTACTCAATATTACCGGTTTTTAGTTTGACTACCTCTGTGAGAATAGTTATCTTAGTGGTTTCCACAGGAATTCAGTAGTCTCGACTGAAGAACACCTTCCAGTGTAGTTAAACACAGATGTTTTAAAGACTGTGGATGGCTAATTACTGGGCCGACTGGCCCATACGATGAATTACAGACACCAGTCAGTCATCTTCATTTATTTGCCCTTTCTTCATCATGTTTTCAGAAGGGTCTGGAATTCTAATCCTGCAAACACTAAAAGTGATATAATATTCTCAAGTTTGGAAAAGGCTTCGCATATTTCAAGTGATTCTATGTAGTACATTGAGCGAAGTTATCAGGTTACACCTATCAAACGCAATGTTGCCTAGTAAATAAATAACCTGTTTCCAAAATGAAGCTTTTTAATTTAATCTTCAGACTCCGCCATCAATATACATGAATGTTATGCATTATCACTGTCAGATTCAGTATATTCAACGCTTTCAATGAAATTTTTTGCAGACGTTTAAAATATCAGGTGTGATATTGGAAGTTTAGGCAATTTGAAGACTATATATTTTCTCTAAACAGGAATATTCATTCACGACTTCTTTACCTTTAATCCATGTAGGTTTGTAGCATCTGATCAAGGCAGCATTTAGTAGTCACAGTGTTTATTTACAACTTTATATACGAACGTGGTGAAACGCCTATAAATCATGTAAAAATCACCATTGTTACATTTTCTCCTTATCATGTTTCTTTCGTCCTCCTTTCATGCTTTCCTTCTGATTTTACAAAGATCGTTCACTTCCTCTCTTCACTATTTAATTCATCCCTCCACTATTCAACATTCTTCCAGAAGACGTAATACACAGTATACTACTTACGAAATCTTGTCAGTAGCACACACCACAACTTCTCGTCATTTCAATAAATCTACCACTCTGTCACAATTTCAAATAAAAGCCTCAATTAATACTTCAGTTACACCCAAAATAAATTCATTCGATAGGAACCATTGTACTTAACACATATGATTTCAAAGTTCACACTAGCTGAAAATCTCTAGTAGAGTATATGAAACATTCATGTTTTTTGTGAAGACAGACTGTAAACATTAATTAGTAGACTTTGAATTACCTTCGACAGAGTATCATATATTCTAAGATTTATTGAGAGATTTGTCTCATCAGAATGCGTCAACATCAATAAGATACGAAATACTTGGTAAGAATACTGATATCACCAAGACAAAATTACGTACTGTTCACTGGCCTGCAAAGAGCTGCTCAACGTTTACACACCCAGAGTACAATTCATCTGTGCAGATGGTGCATTGAAGATAAGGTGTACATAATTTCTATGTGTAGATATACGAAATTCCAAACACAGATTTCTTTACCAAGTTTCTCGTCTTCTACTGCCACGATGTGACGCAGTGCTGTTAGATTTGCAGCATAACTCAATTCCTTACAACACTTTTCCTTCTTCTCCGAGAAATCTACATCGGTATTTTGAAGGCGAATCGGAAATGTGAGTGAGCACATTTCGCGACACAAGGACATAAATGTGTTGTCCAAACCATAGGAAATACAAAATATTTCATGCATTTTGTCAGAGGGAGTTTCAGGTAGCTAAGTGATATAAGCAGACTTCCTATCTGAAAAGAACTTCGAGCTTCACTCACTCCAGAGTATAATCATCCATCGTTCTTGTTTTTAGATCTTTTCTGATGCTCAAGAGGTTACGAGGAGCTGTGGTTTAAACTTTCGGACCACAAATAAACTAGTTTTATTTACACATGTTTGAAAAGTTAAGCGATCAAAATGTTGGAATTGATGAAAGTGAATATTGATCGACATGCCTTGATAATTGACTGAAGTTGAAAATCTTGTGTGACTGACATTCTATATGGTGGCACTAAATCAGATGACTCTGCAGTCAGTGATACAAGAATGTGTGAGTAGTTACATTCAAAAAATCCAGGACTATAACAAAATGGTTCACCAATGTCCCTTGTTTTCCAGCGGTTTTCATTGAGAAGAATATCAGCTTTTACAGGACTTTTGATGTCAGTATACCGAGGTAACCAGTGTAGTCATATTTCAATGAAAACTTTCAGTGCATCTTCAAACACTTTGTGTGACTGCAGGTAGATAGTAGCATAGCCTAAACCACGTTTGCATTTACTGACACTTCTCAGAGACGTTATCTTTTCATGGACTGATAACCTGCATCATACAGTTCTGCTTTCTGAGATGCTGCTATTGAACAGTTGCTAGTCATCTATAGAACTGCGATGGATACATTCATCTGGGTACTACAAAGTAACTGGTTTTCGTGTCTTTATTTATGTGCGATTTTTCAAAATATTCAAATTCCCTGACTAACTGACTGATCATAGGCTAAATTTTAGATATGACAAATAATCTTCATGGTTAAATATTGAAAAACTGCATAAATCATTTGCATGTGAAGTAATGAGTAATGTACTGAATTAAATGCCTACAATCAGTCCAAACCAAGGTAATAGCTCACCAGCGTATAACCTTTAGAAATTCGGGACACTCAGATCACAATAGATAACTTTCCTGGTATCATAAATCCTGTAGAAACTGCAGACATCTGTGCCATACGTTACATACTACTGATTGATATGAGTATTTTATTCTGGATCGTATCAACCAATAATGCTTGCTCGTTTAATCTACGCGATCGAAGCGACGAACGGTATTCACCTTAACTTAGGATAGCTGTCATCAGTAGATTAAACAACCTTATCCTCCAGATATTCAGAATTCTACCTTAGTTCATGTAGAAGTAAATTAGTTGCTTAACAATTATAGTGTTTGATGTGAAACCCTATACATAGTCTTCATCAAGTAATGGAAGTGGGCAACAGTAAGGTATAGAAATCATGGTCAAGTGACCTTGAACAAACCAATCAGATCACTCAGCATTTCAAATGGATGTTTTTTATAATCTTCGTTGCAGGTTTCACACTAACCTCAACCCCTAATAAGGGTGAAACCAAAGTCTTTGAAGATAGTTTTAATTATCTCGTTGGTTTCCAGGTAGAAAGATGGCTTCAGTGGCAGATCTTTATTTCAATTTCTTCTCTGCTGTGCATTTACTCTAACAGATTCTTACCACTATGATACCTTTTATTCTTACTGGTTTAGAGTAGTGGGGAAAATTTTGTTCACCGCCGCACCACACATATTTTTGCTGTCACGGAAAGAAGACATCTTCTGATTAGCTTCTCGAATGGTTTCATCAACTTGCGTCATTTCGTCTCTCTTATTCCAGAGGCAAATAAGTCCATTTCTAATATATTTTCTAGTTTTGAAGTTTGTGTAGCGATTGGACTGATTTTCCGTGGTAGGGTTGCTAGCCCCAGCGCGCCTAATCTTCACTCATTTCTTCAGGTTACGACCGCCTCGTAAACTCATACATAAAATCATAACTATCCTTTATGAGATAAATAGAATCATGATTGCAGTCAAGTGACATGCTTATCATAGTTCGGTAGCCAGTTAATCAATAATTTATCCCCAGTGCTGAACATCCTAATGTGAGGCATGGAAAAGTGGAAAACGACGATTACAATTAACAGGTGCTAAGCAAACCAGATACTCTCTATCAATTTCAAGCCGTTAATATAAACTGTATCTTCCTTATCTCTTAACAACTGAGTAGTAAGAAGCCAGAGACAAACTACTACTACGACTACCATTTTCTTTCTGCACTTAAACTTCATATTCAATAAAGCCGTTAATACATTCCGCCCATCCATTTTATTAAGATTAGAGAAAACTTTATTTCTGTGATAGCATACATCTCTGTGTGTACGTATGTATGTGTGTGTATTTTGTATGTACATTCGCGCATTTATGTATGTTGATGTACATGCAAGTGAAGTGTAATTTCTCTCTTCCAGTTTTTATCAGATATAGTCACAAGTAAACAGTACCGTTTTCAGGTCAAATTTCATTTCTGCACGTACTTGTGTGTAAAGTATAAATCCGAAACTTGCTTTCTAGCTCTCTCCTCTATCAGGCTCTACCTCATTAAAATTTAACCAATTGTTCACATGGTTCTCAACTCAGATAACAGTTGAACCCAGATAATCATGCTAAGTGCAGAAAGTATATATATATATAGTCTT